ATTTATACTAATAGTTGCTTAACAAAGACCTACAATGTAAAAATGTCAATACATATTTGATAGAGATTGAAGGGAAATGTTTATCAACCGTTGTACTCCAAGAATGGCTATTAGTATTTCACCCTTGCATAAATTTAATTTAATGCTTGCTTATGGCTGTGATAAGACTGGTGGTTACTTGCACGCTTTCATATTCATTATTTATGACGAAAAAACAAAAAGATTGAATGCTAAATATTCACGTTTTACTGTTGTTATTATTTCACCCCTTTATATTCATTATATAGGTGTCTAGAGCATTTAAGTACTACTATTTCACTTCTAATTCACCGCTTCACTTATAGTATAAGTAAATAATTATTTAATTGAAGGTTTAGAATTTGTCTTCAGGGGCAAAATGATAACTCATAAAGGATATTATTGTAAATTAACTTTGAAAGTAAGAGCTTCTTACTTTTAATATAACTAGTTTCTGGTCACGTGGGTTTCATGTGTATATTATGTAAATTGATTTTTAAAAATCACATATATTGTTAAAATATGTACCCGACCATTAACAAAAAAAAAAAAAAAAAAGACGCGCAAGCTCAAAATCATGAACTGATTTCATTTTAGCGATCGAAACGACCAAATGTCATCTGAACATAAGGTGAACAGTTATATTTTACAATAAATTGGTTAGATGAAGAATAATATGTGTGATGGTCGCATCAGCAAGAAGGCTCCGAAGCTTTATTTTATTCCTTATAACCAAGACAATATGCCTTGGCGTGATTCAGTACTTGGTGTCATGACTCATGAGTAGTATTTTCTGTGCGTGCCATAACAAGAATCAAAATGTTAAACTCTCTCCCTTCCAGATTCATGCATGAGACTTGAGACTTAAGTTTAAATCGCTTTATCTAAAATTTTATAGTCTTTGAAAATCTATAAAAAATTAATGATACATGAGCCAAAAGTTTGATCTCTCTTTCGCATTTATATTTTCGGGCGTTCCCTACTACAACCACCATTTTCGTAAAACACTCCTTGCAAGAGATATACCAGTAATCATATTCTAAATATAATTTTTAACTAAGCAAACTGTAAAGTGCTCATTAAACATATATATCTAAATATGCATCCTACATTATATATTGGGTGAAAAAGGACAGCAAATAATATATCACAAAAATTAAGTCAAAGATCAAGCAAAAGTTATTAAAGAATATGTACACCTATTTTACCTCAAACAAAACTCTATGTCTTGAATCCGATGATCTCAATTAGTATATGTATGTAGAAAGAATTAATGAAGAAATAGGCAGGCTATTCTTATTTCAGAGGTCTAATATTCAAGACATGCGGCTGCATAAACTGAAGCACCAGTTGTATTGGGCAATCACACTTTTCTTAAATATTGTTGATGATAGGCTATAATTGCGTATTTTAGTCGATTATTACACTCTAATTTACTGTACTTTAATTGAGTTTGCGCTTTAATCGCTAGTGTTTTGCACTAATTGTGTGTTTTATGCCTTGTAGGTGTGATTCCGAGCTATATAGATGTTATGGAATGAATTTAAGTGATTTGAAGCTTTGAAGTCTGAGTAAAAGCTCAAGGAATTAAGCCGGGATCGTGTTCGGGGTCAAATTTAATAATTAAGTACGAACAAAGACTTGAGGAGGCATATTGCGCACTGTCTAGTAAAATAGACATAACTTTTTGCTCAGAACTCCATTTGGGCTCCACAATATATAGTTGGAAAGCTAACTCAAAGGGCTACAACTTTCATGTTTTATGTTTTTCCAAATTCCAAACGGAATAGGGTGAAAAAACCGCGGTTTTTCCGAGACCGCGGTAGAAGATGGTCGCGGACAACTGAAGAATCAGAGGGCATGTTTGGCCGCGGTTCCACCGTGACCGCGGCAAAACCGCGGCAGGAAGCGAAAATTTCAGGGACTAAAGTGCAAAACATGTGATTTTAAGTCCTAAACCCTATATTAAACAAAGGAGGCCGGCCAAGAACAAGAGGGGGACATATTTTGGACACAAATTAGTCCTAAGGAGGCGGAGAGACACTACTTTAGGGTTAGACAACACCCTTGGAGGCAAGAACACATTGGGAGCAAGGCGGAGAATTCTTCTACGAGTTTTTCCTTCCTCTTCCTATTTTTCATTGTTGGTTATGACTTTTAGTATTGTAGTTTTACATACTATTATGAATAGCTAAGTTGTTATCTAGAGTTTGATAGAACCTTTTGTAGGATAAATTCTTGTTATGTTTTTATCTAATTGAGCCATAGCTTTTCTCTATTTGTTCAACTACGTTTATATTCTGGTTGATTGAAGAGCTCTCAATTAGCTGTGCCTATTTAGTATGCATAACTCGGGAGAGAGTGCATATTTAGGTTGTTGTTGAACAACACCACTCCCAGAGTATATGAGGGATCAATAACCGAGGGTTTAAAGGTGGGATTAGGGATAACGAATCCTTGGGTGCGATCTGAAGTGAGATGTATTAAAAGCCAGCTAGCGTAGCTCGGGAGAGTGCGTCTAGTAAATTGTCGTAATTACTCGGGAGAGATTTACGGTAATAAGAGTGCTCATGATCGGTAGAGAATACTTAGGCGAAATTATAGAAGACATAGCGGGAAGGATTCCGACAACTGGGGAAATCATAACTCTAGACCTCCTTAATCTTTTCTCTAACCCTCAGTATTGTTAGTTGTTAATTTACTATTTTAATTTGTTAGTTAAGTAGTTAAACACAAGAATCTTAATATCTATAAGTTAGGAATTGTTCAAGCTTGTCTTCTTGGTGATAGTGAACAGCTGTAGCTAAACCTTAGTTCTCTGTGGGATTCGACTCCGGACTTGTAAACCGGATTATATTTGCAGCGACCGCTTAGTCTTTTTTATAAGGCATAGTTGGGCGTGACCAATTGTAGATCTCTAGGTTTTTGTTAATTACTGCCATTACACTACATAAATGATATATTGATACCATTTTCTCTTCATTTGCTCTCAGGCTTAGGTTATTTGAACTTTATCTGTAACTATAACTACTCAAGTGTACATATTTCTAGAATTTTATAATAATGTCACGTTGAAAGAGATTCAATTGCGTTTAATATATATTGAATTAGAAATTACAACTCTTCAAGTTCTCCATATTTTCTATGTCAACGCAGAGAATATCAGTTAATATATGCATTGGTTTATGAAAGAGAAATTTTTATTTATTTTTCTAAGGGTATTATAGTCATTCAGTTTTTAATGGGCAATTTAGTATAGTATGATTTGACACTTGAGGTTCCCACTTTTAGTATAGTACGATGATATGATATGATATGATATGATATGATGACTAGTCTTCGGGCACGTGTATTGCGCGTGTACCCATATTAATGAATATAAAAAATTTATAATATTATATCAATATTAGCAAAAAATTATTTTTGAGTGACAAAAATTTAAACAAAAGTATAAGTTCTTGATGTCTTATGGTGATCTGGATATATGTTTTAGCTTGCTTTAAAAAGCCAAAACACCTTCAAGGTGGCAAGAAAGCTATATATTTCGAGTAAAAACTAAAGAAATCATACCGAAAAATATTTTTCTGGACACAAAAGAAAAAAGTTCTTAGCCGCGTAGGCTCTCTGATCTTTTTAGCATATGTCATTAAACTCTCATTAGCCCAAGCGTCGCCTTTAACTTGTTACAACACCAATGATTGTCAAAGGCACCACCATATCCAAGAACTTATTAGATATCATCCATATCGGCAGGTGGTTTGTTAGGTTCATAAGGTCACCCATAATTGCAAAGTTATTTTGCTATATACCGCTGACGAAAATAATGGCATTCTTTATCTTCCTTATTATCCAGGGAGCGCTAACCAGTAAATATTACTACTACATTTTAGTCTGTTTATAGAACAATATGTCTATCAAATATCATTAATAGACTTTTTATCTGGAATATTCTCAAAGCAAAAGTTCTATGAATTTAATTGGGATAAAAAAAGTACCGCATATTTTCAAAAGACCAAATACATTAAGTAGTTATCAAATAAGAGTAATAAAAAAGACTATAAAAATGAAAATGACTTAAAGAGTTTAAATTGGATATTAGATAAATTTGGTTGAGACTACAAAAATATTTCAAGTGTCAAAAAATATTTCATACATTACATTGTATCGTTTTCATATAAAGTGCGGTAGTTAATTAAAGGCTCAATTTATTATGAGATGGTTTTATTTTTTGGTACAAAAATGTCATAACTTTTAATGGATATTTTGGTCTTTTAACTTTGTAATTTAGCCTTCACACTTATAATATAGTATGATGATAATATATTATGATGATATGATGAAGATGATGATTTAGATTTATGATTTATTTGTAATCAGATTGACTGTAAATGAAGTGTCAGAATGTTTACTTTTAGTATTGTTAATTTCATTGGTTGGTGTTGGATTGTTTGGAATGTTCAACGACAGCAATTAGCAAGTTTTTCTAACAACCTATTGCCAACAGATGTTTCGCCGTCAGAAATCTTGAGTTTTTGACGACTTCCTGAGGACTTTCTCTATCGAAATTTCTGATAATTCTTGTAGTGCAACCAAATATCGAGTGGCTTGATTCACTTATCTTTCATACTAGGAGGTATGTATACATGACAATCAAGGCTTAGCATCACCACATACTTCATTCATATGCATCTTTTAAATTTTTTGGATTGGACGCATTGACGAGCAGAGTCGGAGCCACGGATTTGAAGTTACGTGATTCAGAATTCTAGTCCTTTTAAGTTATTGGACACTAAATTAATAATTTGCACATATTCAATGAATTTCTTAAGACATATAGAAATTTGACCAAAATTACTGGGTTTGGCCGTACCGTAAAACACTAGCTCCGCCCTGTTGATGAGTTAACCTGAGTCCTACCAATAACTATGAAGCGAAGAAACAAAACAGGAAACTATTGTCTTCAGCAAACTCATAAAGAAATCATAGTTAGGAGATTCTATCAACTCTTCTGTCCCTCTTGGAAATAACTTTGTGCGTGAAAGAAAACAAATTAAAGTAAAAATACATATGTTTACAGGCAATTACGCACTTATAAGCACCACAAAATCGGCTTTGAACCAAAACGCCTTATTTAATATTAGCAAACCTGCCCGGAACCCCAACACCAAATATCAATATGGCCAATATGACTGCACTTTTAAAAGTGTGCAAGAAAATGCCATACGAGTAACAAGACATTTCCTAACTGAAAAAAGACTTTACACATCATTCTAATTCATGTTTGACATCATTGTTCAGGGTAGCTTTTCTTCAAACAGTGACACAAAGGGGGAAAGTCCTTGTTATCATCTAGACAGTATTGCTGCATCATAACCCTGTAATGGTCAATGAGGAAAAATATTAAAGATTGCTCATGTTTTAAGATAGCAGAAGCGAGGAAAGGGTAAAGAGTATACATTTCTTCATCAAGTGGTGATGCATTTAATGTTGCTTGAGTTGTGAAAGTGGCCACTCCAAGGTCAGGCTCCTTAGATATAACATCCTCACTGAGCTGCTTCATCGGTTCAAATAATTGCAATCTTAATGCAACCATTGGTTGTGTGGGAGTTTCATCGTCAGTGAGCTGCTTCATTGGTTCAAATGAATGCAATCTTGATGCAACAATTGGTTGTGTGCCAAAAGTCCCATATTCATTCTCTTTGCATGGTGAGGGTTTCCATGACCGTTGGGACTCTGCAACAGGTTGAACAAATTGTTGACTTTCTCCCATCTTTTTACAGCTTGGAAGACCTGGGAAGTCTTCCTGTGAAAGATCAAAGTTACTATGTCCCTGATCATTGCCAGCCTCAGAGAAAATGTATAATCGCCCAGTATCCAGATCAGATTTAAGTAATGTGCCTTCAGACTTGGTTCCGCCTTTTGTTGTCATCTGTGGTACATAAATATACATGTCTGAGGATTTCGCCTGCAATATTTAACACAGAGGCATTTTAAACAAGAAATTAGAAGTCGTTCATTATAATGAAAACAGAAAGCAGAACTAGGAAAATGAGTTCTCACATCAGAGCTTGTATTTATTCCTTGTGCAGCTGCAGTTTCGTCAACATTTGAATTGAAGATACAGATTTCTGTTTCTTGAGACTTCTCTTTTAGACCAGTTCCAGTGATGCAATCGCTAGTTTCTCCAATTTCTGAATGGCGAATACCTTCTCCTTGCAGTTTCACCTTTTCCTTAGTATCTATCTCAATACCATGTATACCACTTTGCTCGCTCATATCCTTTTTTATATGCATATCATGGGAATCTCTACAAACGTTTGGTAAATTTTCCTCAATTACAAATTTAGGGAAACAATGGTACATCCGCTGCAGATCCAACTCACCATTAAAACTGGGAAGGGATATACCTCTTCCTCTTTGCCTCGAGTCCATTACAGTGCTCCCAAAAGGATTGTATAACTCCATTCCTCGAAACGCTGATGGTTCATTTGCACTGAAAGCAGAACCAAATAAATGAGGGCTATTTGGATAGCAGGGGGAGGTTGAGATACATCTAATTGTTCCTGGGTATTGGAAATTTCCACCGTACGACGTCTTTTGCATATTGCCCTGGAACTGAGAAGATGATATTTGAGAGCTTGAATGCAAAGGAACATTTAAACCAAGCTTCTGAGAACATTGATAGTGCCTGAGATAGTTGATATGACTGTTGTACTCCCCATTTAAACTAAGGACTTCAGATCTAGCACAAGATAACATGGCACGTACATCGACATCCGATCGTCGTCCATCCGAATTGAGTTCAAGGGTATTGACAAAGAACTTTTTTAGTCCACCACACACTTTTTCTTCTGGTAGGGTGAGGATCTTTCTTAAAGTCTGAAATCCATGGGATAAAGCATATCTTATACGATAGAAGTTGCCTGCAACATAAGGGTCAAATGAATCGATCAGCTTCAGAAGAAAAAGGAGTGCATATCCTTGATAAAGTCACCAGTAAGCCACTATTTTTCATTGTTAGTGTGCGCTTGTGGTAATGAAGCATTATTTGTTAGAATTGGATATGTTTTCTATCATGTCATTTAACATCAAAAAGCCGTGACTCCAATGAGAATCTTTCTGGAACAGGAAAAAACAAAATCCTAAGAGACGGTATTTCAGCTGATGTACGAAATGGTACATGAAAAAATCAAACATTACGTGCAATGCATGTGCATCTGTACCAAAGGGTCAATTCAGTGGAACAAATTTATCAATTACCTCTGGTAACACACCGTCCAAGGTTATTACACTGTTTCAGAGGATCCACTACGTTAAGATATTTTAGCAAGAAGACTTGTCCTTTACACTTGTCCACCCTCATTTGATCCATCGAACATTTCAGGCAGCAATCAAGAAGTTCCTTACTAAGAAGCATCTCATTCCCATAGCTTGTTGGTGTCTCTATTGTGACCAAATGGCATGGAAAGGTACCTTATCAGAGTAGCAGCAACAAATAAACAAACAATGTACCACAATTGAATATTAAGGATCCAGCTCAGAAATTCATTAGTAAGAGAACTACGCTAACTCTTGTCATGCAATCAAAATAAAAACAATTCAATAATTTCTGGGTGAAATTTCCAGGTCAAAAGATGGAAAATATATGAAGGAGAAGTAAAGAAAGACCAGAAACAACATTGTGATGCAATGTTAAAATCACATACATTATTCACCAAATCTTACAATCTGAGAGAGAGATCTTGATAAATTTCTTGATCATTCAGTCAAGCATGTGGAGATTAAAATGGTATACAAATATTTATTAAAGAAGAAAGCATATACTCCTTTCAGTTGACTCAATACCAAGTTCAAAATTTAATTTGACTTAGTAGCTATATTAGTTGAGGTAGAACTGTAGAAGATTTTTTAAAAAATGGTTGAAAAGTTAGCTTCCTACAAAAAACATCACATCAAAATCTAAAACTTGCGAATTTTATTATATTTTTTTTATTTAAGGTGTTATACAGAATAAGATAATTAATTGAATGCAGTCAGACATTTTGGAACATCCCAGCACAGAAAGAGTGTCATATAATTTGAAATTGTGGGATTACACGTTCCTACAATTCTCGCACTCACATAAATACAGAGATTGAAATCCATAATTCTACTAAATATACAATGCAAAAAGTGATATTCTCTATTTACAAGAGAAATCTTGTTATATTTAGCACTCCGATTAGAGCCTAGGCTGCAATACAATCAATTTTGGACCCTTGAGGGGATTTAGAGTCCCACATAGGTCTCTTCAGGGATGGGAGGTCTTTTATAAGGTCTTAGAAAATCCTCATCTTATGACGTAGCTTTTTATGACCTACCTTTTGGGGTTGAGTTTGCCCCAAGGTCCATTTCTTTATCATGATATCAGAGACAAGCCTATCCAAATTCATTGTTTACCGATGTTGAGCCCTCATCTTATATTGTCCATGCTCTAGATGTCTAGTCCTAGGAGTATAATTTTCTAATCTCTCCATCCAAAACCTAATAACGTCACTTCTTTAGTTTTTCAATATTAAGTTTCATAAGTGCAAAAAACGGAAACTAAAACATCTTACCACTCTGTTGATACTGTTGCACGTGCTTTTGTGGATCAATATTATCTCATCTAGATCAGCTTATTTACCCGTCCTATAGATTTTAGGCCTCAGCCTAATGGTGAACCGTGAGAATCACTGAAAGAATAGATGAATTTATCACTCCTACCCAAGCCCAAATATCTTCATTCCATACAGGATGGTTGCACGTGCTTTTGTGGATCAATATTATCTCATCTAGATCAGCTTATTTACCAGTCCTATAGATTTTAGGCCTCAGCCTAATGGTGAACTGTGAGAATCACTGAAAGAATAGATGAATTTATCACTTCTACCCAGGCCCAAATATCTTCATTCCATACAGGATGGATAAGATTAGGAATGAAGATATTCAAGCCTGGGTAGGAGTAGCCTCGGTGGAGGACGAGATGCGGGAAGCGAGGCTTAGATGGTTTGGGTATGTGAAAAGGAGAAGCGCAGATTCCCTAGTAAGGAGGTGCGAGAGGTTGGCCCTAGAGTGTTTGAGGAGAGGCAGAGGTAGGCCAAAGAAGTACCTAGGAGAGGTGATTAGGCAAGATATGGCGTTCCTTCAGCTTATCGAGGACATGCTTGATAGGAAGGTGTGGAGGTCGAGAATTAAGGTAGAAGGCTAGTAAGTAGCCGAGAAATGTTTCTTTTACATACCAGTAGTATTAGTGTTAGTTTGGTGCTATATTATTGTCAGATTTCTAGTCTTACGTGTTTCCCTTTTGCTTTGTTTTCATGTTAACTTTTTGTTGTTAATGCTTGTGGTGCTGCTTTATTTTCATCTTTCCTTGAGCCGAAGGTCTACCGGAAACAACCTCTCAACCTTTCAAGTAGGGGTATGGTCTGAATACACAGTACCCTTCCCAGACCCCACTTGTGAGATTATATTGGGTTTGTTGCTATTGTTGTATCAAGTCCTCTCACTTCAACGATTGTAAGGTGGAATTCACTACTATTGACTCTGAAGTATCTGCCGCAGGAGGCGTTCTTGTGGTGGTTACAACACGCAAGATCGGGCAAGATTATTCGAGAAAAAGGTTTTCTCAGCCTCTTTTTCTCGCTCCACAAGGGAAGGATACTATGTCCCGAATGACATTTTTCTTTGTTGGCACCGAAGAATCTTCGTCAGTTGTCACTAATAAGGATAGTGAAGATGCTTCAGTTGCTCCTTTGGAACCAGCTACTCAAAGCAGAGCTGAAGAAAATGTCGAGGAGATGTCTGACGATAAATAATAGACTCAGGTCACAAAAGATGCGGTGACAGGGCAAAGTCTCCATGGGATAGCGGTGGATTTCGCAATGGTCCAATGTCCATTTTTTTATCATGGTATCAGAGTCAGACCCGTCCAATTTTCTTATCATGGAAGTCACAACTATTGACTCCCAAGTATCTACCGTAGGAGGCGTTCTTGTGGTGGTTACGGCATGCTTGTTCGTGCAAGATCATTCGAGAATAGTTTCAACTAGACTTGATTTTCTTGCTCCATGGGAGAAAGGATTCTATATCTTGAATGACAATTAATTTGTAGCATTGAAGAATCTTCAACAATTGTGTGCATTTGTGAATCACTATTATCTACATCAGCTTATTGACCAATCACATAGATATTACAAGGAGTCGAGTGTCCTAAGTTGGCCTTAGCCTGATGGTGAACTAATAACTGTGACAACAACTGAAGGCATAAATGAATTTATCACTTACTCTCACTTTAAGGATTGCAAGGTGGAAGTCACAACTATTGACTCCCGAGTATCTGCTGCAGGAGGCATTCTTGTGGTGGTTACAGTATACTTGATCGGGCAAGATGATTCAAAAAAAGTTTCGCCTAGACTTTTTTTCTTTACTCAACAGGAGAAAGGATTTTATGTCTTGAATGACAATTTTCAATTTGTAGGCATTGAAGAATTAAAAAGTTGTCACTGATAAGGATGACGAAAATGCTTCCATTGCTTCTTTAGCTACTCAAAGCAAAGTTGAAGAAAATGTCAAGGAGTTGTCTTGATAAATCTGAAATCCATGAGATAAAGCATATCTTACACAAAAAGCATTGCCAACAACATAAGGGTTAAATTAACTTATCACTCCGGAAGTACAATTGATTGGATTACCACTAATCCATTATTCTTATTGTCTCTATGTGCAGCACACGTGCGCATATAATAATTAAACATTTTTTTATTTCAATATTCGATTTTCTAATCTCTCCATGAAAAACCCAATAATATCACTCTTTTAGTTTTTCAATATTGACTCTTCATAAGTGTATTAATGGCAACTCAAACATCTGAACACTGTTGATACTTGTTGCACGTGTTTTTGTGGATCAACGTTATCGCATTCTACATAAGCTTATTCACCAATCCCATATATTTTTAGAAGGATTCAGTGTGATAAGTTGGCCTCAACTTGATGGTGAGAAAACTGAGACAACAACTGAAGGCATAGATGAATTTATCAAGTACTCTCACTTCAAGAATTGCAAGGTGGAAGTCATGACTATTGACTCCCAAGTATCCACTACAGGAGGTGTTCTTGTGATAGTTACGACATGCTTGATCTGGCAAGATGATTCAAGAAAAGTTTCTCCTAGACTTTTTTTTTCTTGCTCCACAGGGAAAGGATTCTATGTCTTGAATAACAATTTTCAAATTGTTGGCATTGAAACAACCTCAATCGTTGAGAATGGCACTCCTAAAATTAGTTATGCTTCAATGATGAAGCAGGGTAGGTCCTCACCGCAAACCAATGTCCCCTATAAATTATATCTATTCTCCTAGCAGTACCAAAAAACCCTCAACCCAATGGCTTACTCAAGGCACTGACTTCTAATTCCAAAGGCATGCTGAAAGGTGCAACCTCTTCAACCAAATAGTTCACAAGAAAACACCAATTCTAATGAAGAAATCCAATATAAATTGATATATATTAGAGGATCGCCAACCAAACCAACAAGTAGTGAGCTCCATTAAGTCATCAAAAAATTTGGACCAGTTCAGAATTGTGACATTCAGATCAAAACTTTTGAGGATGGATACTGTTATGAATTTGTCCATTTTCAAAGATGCAGTTTCTGCTCATAATGCAGTTCAAACACATCATATAATTGTGAAGGAAAAGAAGCTACATAAGATTCAAAAGAAATTACAAAGCATGTGGTGACAGGGCAAAGTCTCCATCGGATTGAGATGGATTTTGCAATGATCCAATGTCCATTTTCTTATCACGGTATCAGAGTCAGGCTTATTCCTTCATTGTTTACCCGATGTTGAGCCCCCAAATTATATTGTCCACGCTCCAGATGTCCAGTCCCAGGTGTGCAGGGGTGTTAGAGTCCCACATCGAGCTCTTCAGGGATGAGATGTCTCCTTATAAGGTCTTGGACAACCCTCACCTCATGAGCTAGCTTTTGGGTTGAGTTACGCCTAGGGTCCATTTCTTTATCAGATATCTACTAATTGATCATTTCAGCTAAGAAAACAACTGCAATACGCCATTCCCCAATCTTTTGCAAATGAAGTGGCAATCTACTTGGGAATTTTCATTAAACACAAGGTTTGAAATTGATTAGGCTCATGAGTTCATTGGTCCATAGTTTAACCATATAAGCTCACACGTAGCTAAAGTCATAACTCGGTATATGCTTCTACACTTGATCTGAGCACCACATTTGTTGTCACCCTAACTGCTGAATCCTAAATTATGCAAAAAGATTAATTAAAGCTCACCCTCTTCCTTCATTTCCCTTAGCTTCAGTTCATTTTGCACCTTAATGTCCATATAATCTGATATCCGGTCTCAGTTCATGAGCTCTGATTCTATTTGAATTTATTTTAAAAGGACTCAGCAAAGGATAGGTGCCCTGGCACTCATACCATGTAAGAAGAAAAAAAGAGTTTTGAGAATTCCAACTTAATTACCTACTCAAGCCATTGGAGATTAAATTGTTTGTGAAATAGTGTCCAGGCCAGCTTCACACTTTGACTATTACCGAGTACCCGCATCTCCCAACAGTACAAGTAACGTGTAGCTTTACCCAAAAAGACTTAGGAAGGGAAAATCACCAAGATATTTTACCTTCGCTGGAATACACACCCTGCTCTCCTTTATAAAAAAAAATATAAAAGTCTTGCTATTTAACACCATCCACAAATTATCCTACAAAAAGATCTACTAAATATACAACATAAGGTTTGAATCAAAATAACCTTAGGCAATACTACTTATGAAAGTCTGATTGATGTAAATATTTAGTATTTTGGTAATATGGTATTCAAATTTTCCTATATCCGTATCATCTTTATGCTTTCCATAGTTATCTCCAACGTGTCGAGGACATCTTTGTTTCTTTATCTTCTAAAATTTTAAAAGTTTGTTTATAACATAAATGTTCTATTTCCATGTATTTTCCTTACAAGTTTATTTAGAAAATACTAAGTATTACCTAAGGATATATGAACTTAACAAAGGGAAATAGAGATGGATAGGGGAATAAATTCTTCCCTAGATATAGTTAAAATTGTGACTGTTTGTACACTACAAAGTTCGTGGAATAGCTTTATCAAGAGGTACACAAACAATTAACTCCCACCCTAAGAGAAACTAATTAGAAGAACCCGCAAAAATAGCAATGACATTTAGACAAGAAATGCTGACCAATATACAAACAAGAAAGTAAGCGGATCACGGCTATCAAAAAAAGAAACTAAGTGGTTCATGAAAAGAGTACAGCTAAAATGCTTAATTCGCTATCACAAATTTATTTGTAACTACTTTAAAATTTCAATTAGGAGAAAACCGATTGCAAGTGTTGGGGTAGAAATAAAAAAAAGCCTAGAAACTGAGACACCATTTGTCTTATGATAAAAAATAAAACTGCGCGCTTTAACATTTTACTTCATTATAAATAATATAATAAAGAGTAAACAAAAAAACTCTATAATAAGAAGACTTAAAAGATATTTTCCAGTATTTCAGTATTAATTTATCGTTATATACTTTTAGAACAAATAATAGAGCATTTACTTTATATTATCCGTGACTATCATGTGCAACATGCGTGCAACGTAGTTGCTTTTTTAACTCACCAACAATATCTTGTAGGCACTTAATTGCAACTGGACCATATATACTGATGCCATAATTTTCCCAATCAAATGTGTGATAGTAGTCCAAGAACCTATACAAGACCTATAAATTCACAAATCACATTTGGTTATTATATACTTATGTTGAATTAACAAATACTAACTTACAGACTCACCGCCAAAGGGCCATCTACAGATGAATGAAACCGATTAATTATATGCAAGACCAGTATCTCTAATGCATAAGTTGAGATCAATCCGGATTGAGCACCAAGAATCCTACTCTCATAGTAGCACCAGGCTTTGATCAAGATAATGCTGTGCTTAAAAAGATGGCCTCTCCCAATGTAATGGTTGACCTGTAGAATTTGCAGCAGAGGGTGACATATCAGGCAAAAAACAAAAATTAACTGCAACAGAGCTTTTAGTTGAATAAAATCTCAATAGAAGTGGGTTTAGGAACCAGAGGTGCATAGGCAAAACAGTTGTTGAAGTATGTAACTATCTCATCTAAAAGCTTAAGCTGTTAGAGAGTACACACTTTTATTTACTTAATTATGTCTCCAACATGCCCCCTCACGTGCGGGCTTGATTCTTTTTTATGAGCCAAGCACGTGAAAATTCTTTTTGATATTGGGTGGCGGTGGACTCGAACCCAGGACCTCTGCCTGCTCTGATACCATGATAAATGAACATTGGGCCTAACTCAACCCCAAAAGCTAGCTTTTGAGGAGAGGATTGCCCAAGACCATATAAGGAGACCAAGGACTTCAAGTCCCACTAATATGGGACAGCTCAACACCCCCCGCCACGCTGCAAACTAGAGCGTGGACAACATAAATGTTCATTTGTGGTCCCGTTCCCCTGTTTATTGCTTATTCTATGTTCATTTGTGGTCATGTGACTTACCTGGGTTGTTGGTTTGGTTCCGGGGATGTTTCGGAGTGAATTAAGACACTTAATCCCAAGGTTGAAGGTTCAGGTTGGAAGAGTTGACCGGAGTTTGACTTTAGTGTAGACTTCGGAATGGAGTTTTGATGGTTCTGATAGCTTCGCATGGTGATTTTGGACTTAGACGTATGTCCGGATGTTGATTTGGTGGTTCGTAGGTTGGTTTGATTCTTTTTTGCGAAAGTTGGAAAGTTTGAAGGTTTGGAAGGTTGAGAGGTTTGACCGAGAGTTGACTTTGTCGATATCGGGGTCGGATTTAGGTTCCGGAAGTTGGAATAGGTTTGTTGTGTCATTTATGACTTGTGTGCAAAATTTGAGGTCATTCGAAATTGGTTTGGTATGATTCGGCATTAGTTTTAGAAGTTGGAAGTTCATTAGGCTTGAATTGGGGTGCGATTCGTGATTTCAATGTTGTTTGATGTGGTTTTGGGCTTCGACTAAGTTCATATCGTGTTTTAGGACTTGTTGGTGTGTTTGGATGGGTTCCCGGGGGCCTCAAGTGTGATTTGGATCAAGTTCGGACTCATTTTGGACTTGGAAGAGTTGCTGATATCTGTGAATCTAGTTTCCTCTTTCGCGATCGCGAGGAGAGGCTGGCGATCGCGAAGGGTCAATTCTAGTAGGTGGAGTTTTGTTCAACGCGTTCGCGAGGGACTTTCCGCGATCGCGAAGTGTAATAACTGGGCAGCAGGTTTTAAAATCCCAAATCGAGGGTTAGAGTATTATTCCATATTTTGAGTTGTAGAGCTCGGTTTCGGTGATTTTGGAGGGGATTTTCAAGATTTGGATCGGGGTAAGTGTTTTTGACTCGGATTTATTATTATATCATGATTCCATCTTTGTTTTTAACATTTAATTAGTAAATTAAAGTGAAGAAATTGGAAATTTTGTGGAAACTTTTTAAATATGAAAAATGGAGGCTTGAAGGTCGATTTGAGGTCGGATTTGGATGATTTTGGTATGGTTGGACTCGTAATCGAACGGGCGTTCGGAATTTGTGAATTTTATCGGGTTCCGAGGTGCGTGCCCGGGTAAACAACCAGAAAGAGATGGACGAAAAAACAAAAGAAAAACAAAAAGAACATGACTTTCTGGGTTGACTTTTTGATTTTGGTTAAAGATCTTAGCTTTTTTTTTTATGAAGTAATGAGTTTTATAGAAAAAGGCATCAAGAAGTACAAGAGAGAGGGAAAGAGTCAGCTTTGATACAAAAAAGAAAACAATTACTAGGCTAAAGCAAAAGAGCTGACAAAATCCAAAAAGTTAATATGGCAATCTACCGGGGCTAAATACTGCCAACTAAATATCAAAAGGAGACATCTAGCTTTAAGTGTGTGTGTTGGAGTTGATATCTCATCAAAACATCTGCGATTCCTTTCTGTCCAGACACACCAAAAGATACAAGCAGGGATCATCTGCCAGACTTTCCTGATGACTTTATCAGCTTTCCAACAGCTTTCCAACTAGACTAGCATTCATAGACTTCTCTGATGCTTTGTGGCATGACCCAACTGAGACCAAAGATAGAAAGAAACATGCACCATATGTCTGAGGCAACTGAACAATGTAGCAAAAGGTGTCTGTTGGACTCTGAATGTTGCTGGCACATAAAACATGTGTTAACAATTGGCATACCTCTTCTGTTAAGGTTGTCCTGTGTTAGACAAGATTCATTTAGGGATATCCAGCTGAAGCAAATGATCTTTGGGGGAAGACTTGTCTACTTCCAAGGCCATCTATCAATGATTTCATTAGTTGAGCATAAATGAGAGTACGCTGCTTTCACCGAGTAGAGGCCATCCATCCACTTAATATTGTCAGCATTGTTGTGGTTGACTAAGTATCCCTCTAGTTTAGCTAGGAGACTCAACAACTGTGGAATTTCCCAGTCTTGGAAGTCCCTTCTGAATTGGACTTGCCAGCAATTGTCTTGCCAATTCTGAGAGATAGAGGAACCTTGATCATTAGCTATCTAGTAGAGGTCTGAGAATTCATTCATCAGGACAGTCCCTTGTAACCATCTATCCTTCCAAAACCTGATGTTGATGCCATTTCCCAACTTGAAAGAGTTATTCATAGAGAATTCATTCCAAAGTTTCCTGATAAAATTCCAAGGCCCAACTCCATATGGTCTTCTTGATAGATTGGTGCACCAGTGACTTTGAGATCCATGATTTGCAGTTACCACCTGTTTCTATACCGTATTCCCTTATTGACAATATCTCCATAGCCACTTCATAAGCATGCACTTGTTATGTATGTTGAGGTCCCTGATACCTAGTCCACCAAGTTGTTTTGGCATGGTAACTTTTGACCATTTGACTAAGTGAAGTTTGTGACCCTTGCTGCCTCCTTCCCGGAGGAAGGTTCTTCTGATTTTATCCAACTGCTTGACTACCTTGTTTGGAATTGGAATCAAAGACATGGGATAAGTAGGAATACTATCCAATACACTATTAATGAGTGTCAATCTTCTCCCCATAGAAAGATATTGTCTCTGCCAAGAGGCTAACTTTGTTTCAAACTTCTCGATCACACCACTCCAAACTTCAGTTGATTTAAATTTAGCACCAAGAGGGAGTCCCAGATATGTAGTTGGTAGTGCAGCTATATCACAAGATAGGATTCCGGCTAATTCATCAAGGTTGGGGACATTGTTGACGGGATATACCTTGCTTTTCAACATATTGATATGCAAGCCTGAGATAGCCTCAAAAAGTTGTAAAGTTGTAATGTGAGATTGAGATATAATACTTGAGATCTCTCTGCTCTTAGTTTTATCATTTGGAATCAATTTGTATGGCTTTTATTAATTATATTCAGTTGATTTGGTTAGATTCGGATCGTCCGGAAGTCGATACGCACGGGAAGGGCTTGTTAGAGGAGTGATTTGGCTTGTTTGAGGTAAGTATCCTATCTAAACTTGGTTGAGGTATTAGTTGCCTGAATTACTTGTGATAGCTACGTGCTATCAATGGCGCATATGTGCGGAGTTGAGCCCATATGCGTGCGCCGGGGTACTATTTCCATGCTCGGGGTAGTGCTTAGGCTATGACATGCCTTGAAATGATTGCTAAGCTTCAAATTGAGATGTTTCTCCTATTTGTACCCCTCTGTGAGCTATTTGTACCATATTTGAGATTTTGTTGAGGTTATTCTTCTGTTTGAACCTGATAAACTGCTAATTCTTGATAGAAATTGTATGTTCTAGCTGTGATAGCACACATTGCACATGCCTACGCTATAGCATGTTATTTATACCAATCCAGGAGTATGAAACTTGATAATCATTGATCATGTACGTGTATTCCCGCATATTTGCTTTTTCTGTATTATGAGCTGACTGGTAGCCTGTGACCACGCCGGGCGGATTGTGATTATCAGGACGTGAGTTGTCCGTGCGGATCCAGTTATTGATATTATTAGCACGTGAGTCGTTCGTGCGGTTGATTTTATTAGCATGAGAGTTTTCTGTGCAGGGTGTGGATATGGATCCATCCCCCTAGGGTCACCCTCTCATGTTTCTCTCTTGATGGTGTACACGCGGTTACTGAGGAAAACTGATCAGTGGTTTGGTACGGATATGAAAAGGTTGAGGAAAGTCTGGCCAGCGTTGCTTTGGAATTGCATTTCATCGTTACTTGCAATTTCCATGGTTTATTATCTGATTTATCTGCATATCATCTTATATGTTGTACCCGTGACTGAACAGAGATTTTAAGTAATTGTACACACACAGAGATAGTCCTTTCAGTACCTTATACGTGTTCACATCACTGTTCTGTACTTGTTGGATTTTATGAAACTGAACAAATTATAGCAGGTATCATTTATAATTCTTGTTTCTTTTACCTTGCCGGGGCTAGTCACGATACTTATTGAGTACACTGGGTCGATTGTACTCATACTACACTTTGCATTTAATTGTGTAGATCCAGGTGTGGGGACCAGTTATTAGCAGTAGATTGGCTTGTTGGACTAATCTTCGAGAGGCGAGGTAGAGCTGCATTCTTGTCCGCAGTTTGACTTGTCTTTTCATATGTACTGTTGTTTCAGTTCAAACAATATTACTATTTAGTTTCAGACTTGTATTCATTTGCAGAGCTCATGACTTCGTATTTATCAGTTTCTGGGGGATTTACCTTATATTAGCAGTATTTGGTTGTTTTGAGATTTCAGACACATGCTATTTCTATAAGTTCTGTTGTTCTATTTCTTTATTGTTATGTTTCGGCTTGCCTAACCGAAGTGTTAGGCGCCATCATGACGGGTTGGGATTTTGGGTCGTGACAATAAATGGGGACATCGGTAACAATAATTGGGATGGGCCTGGCTCTGATACCATATGTAACAGCCCAGCCCACTAGTGATAATGTCCGATTTGGGCCTAGGCTTGCACAAGCGGACAATATTACACCGTGTTAAGAGTATCTTCGGGCTAGTTGAGCCCAACAATTGGTTTCAGAGCCCAGGTACGGCGGGACGAGTATGGAGATGGCAAAGTGATGGTGTGGGGCAGTGCGCACACAAGAAGAAGCTATTTGCGAGCTTCGGTTGCCATATACTCTAACAATGTGGGTGGCACACAGTGAATCTCGAAAATTGACTCGTCGATCGTGGCAATGATCACATGGAACTTAGTTCGAGGGGGAGACCCGTGAATCGTGGTAGTGAGTCACGAGAAACTTAGTTCGAGTGGGAGATTGCTGGTGTGCGAAGAAAGTCCCACATTGGTAGCTGAAAAGATTGGGAGCCTACGTATAAAGTGTAGGGATCTCTTAATGGTGTGAGGCATTTTCGGGAAAACCGTGCGGGCTTGGCCCAAAGCATACAATATAACATCGTGTCAAAGGTATCTTTGGGTTGGTTGAGGCCAACAACAAAAGCAAAGAGCGGCTCGTAATCCGAAGGTGTCTTCCCTGCCCTCCTCTTTCCCACCGGTGGTTTGGAAGGGATAGAGAAAGAAAAAAGGATGTGAAGTGACTTAGCATCACAAGAACAGTGATTGAAAATCACCAGGAATATGACTTGGTGTTTATTCAACCGACGCTACATAGATGACAGCATTGAGATTTTGTTAGCAAAATTGCACTAGATTCAGACCTGTTCAAGGAAGCTCAAAGAACAGAGTCCTGCCACTTGATTAAAGGAGATGTCTACAGAGATATGCTGCACGAAGCACTTTACAATCTTCACCTGACAACACAAAATCAAAAGAATAGATAATCAACACAGATAAATCAAGATATCTCCACCATCCAGGGCAGCATAGAGGTAAAATTTTATAATATTGGATAATATCAGGCAGATAGTTCATTTCTACAATGCAGAGCTCTACATTACGAGAATGATAGGAAATCCAAGACCTTGGGCTAATTGCACCCAAGAAATGAATTATTTTTCAGCCTTATGAGTTCATTTGCCAAGTAACCCCAATCAGATAACCTCATCGGACGGAGAGGGAATATCAAATTATCACAATTCTATATGTGAAGATATTATTACTATTCAAATATTAAAAAGTCAGACACCATTTGCAGCTCAAACATGCGCCGACTGCATAAAAAGTAGAAAAACTAAAACAAGGCAGCATACACCAATGCAGCCTTCTCGAAAAAGCCCAAGTGTTCTATAAGGTACTAGGTTGCTTGCAGCTTCTATTCTATTATCCATTCTCTTTCTGCTTACCAATCCATTTACACTATTCAACAGACAAAACCGGTTGTTGTATCTCAAAAATATTCACCCATGATTTTCATCATCAAAAGAAGCATATCTCACCATTTTCACCCTCTATATTTACATGCATTGTCATACAAAAGACAAACCATTTCAAGAAACAGCCACAGCTGATGCGACAAAGTTTGTTTCCGATATTTAAGAACATTCCACTAACAAGACAGCAGCATTAAGCTGAAGATTCCCCCCCCCCCACCCAAAACCACG